TGTACGAGCAATGTGTGTGTCTATATATGTGAATGTGTTTGTGTCTATTGGTTAAATATTGATTTTCTTGGGTTGAGTTAACAATATCGAGAATACGTTAGTGATTTCTCGTGATAATTTACGAGCCTAGAGTTTCTCCATACATATTACTGAAAAAGTACACCACATACAGGGGATTTATGCCGCCTGACATGGGCCAGACCTGCTAGGACCAAATTCATTAATTTCTGAGAAGGAGCCTGACACATTAATAAACAGCCTGACACGTTAATAACCAACAGAATCTATAAGTACATATCCTTCCTGACAATTTAGGATATCCTTGTACATTTCCCGCGTCATGCAGTAGTAGTATTTACATAGTGTGTGTACACACTCATGTCATAGCCTTCTATGTAGTTATTTTAGATGTTTTTCTTGTGCATAGCTGTTCTATTTTCAGGAGGCTGTCTTGTATATTTATTCAAACCCTAATTGAAGTTCAAACCCTACATATAAATACATGAAGGGAATATCCAACTTCACGGCCATCACCTCTATGCCTCTCTATAGCGTCTATAGCTATCTAGTTCTCACTCTTCGAGTGTCAGGTGAATTTTAAATAGTATTTCTCTACGAGTGCGATGGTCATGATGATAAATATGTATATCTCAATGTGAACGTGATACTGTATTCATTTGCGTTCACACAACATCAATACACAGAATCATCAATAAAAAGACTAAATATCAGAAATATACAATGTCGGTCGTCAAGGACAATATGGATGATGACTTGGACTCGCTTCTGTTCGTCGAAGAAAAGTATGTGAGCCAACCAGTACTTCTATCGTCTGTTCGTATATTCGTATCTCCTGTCGAATGATCACTTCTTACACTCGTTCGTAGGAAATACATGCCTAAGCTTTCAGTCTTAGTATCGCATGTATATGCAGGATCTCTACTTTCATTTTGAACCGTGGCCAGTGTCGAATTTATCGCGCATCGAATCAGCGATGCAGTTGTCGATACGTTTATAGTCTTCGACACTTCTATTTGAATATGGATGCAACGTAAATGCATGTGAAGGTTAACATACCTATATATATATATATATATATATATATATATATATATATATATAATAATATATATATATATATATATATATATATATATACCACAATGGCTAGGTTCCACAGAGAGGGATTTCAAGAAGGTCTAAACTTTGGGCGAGAAGCCGCCGGACAAGAAGCTCATATGTACGGTATGGCCAAAGGTGATCAACTGGCGTCTGAACTGGGGTTCTACCGTGGGTTTGCTTCGATGTGGGGTGCCTTATTGAACGAGGGGGAAGCATGCGGAAACTCATCACCAATGCCACGGTATCAAAACACAATCGATTGCATATCGAGTTTAGATTGTACTTGACGGGATTTGATTGACACGGGTGTATCAGTAGTTCCATATCCCCAGCGAATGTGGCCTGTGATGAGCACACAGTGCATGTATTGCTAGCAAATGCCTGTACAAACCATTGTGCTTCACAGTGATATGTGATCACAGACCCGCATGAGTTTCAAATACTTTTATCGCGCTTGTACTGGAATACTCGATCTCGCTTGATTTCCATGACTGACAACTCAGCTTGTAGTATGAGCCATGCACGTGTCAGATTTGGTCCTTCATGGTAGAGCAATGGTTGCCAATTTTACTACTTTGACACACGCTTTATACACTTTGGGGTGTATGGTCTTGAACGGCACTGTTAGTCGAATTGATATTTATAGCACATATGTACGCTGATGTATAGTAAGCAGAATTGCTGATGCACACTTGTAATTGCTCACATCGCGTGAGAAGATTTCAAAACGTTGACATACGCAGAAGCGCCGACTTTGTTTTAGGACCAAAGGGAATATACCCTGGTCTCTACGTTAATGTTAGTACACGGACTTTTTTATTTCGCAGAGCAGGTAAAGTGCTGACAGCATTCCAAGCCCAGTTGGATGAGATCGACACTACAATCGCGATCACGCCACACAATACGGTAATCATCGGCCCACGCGTGGGTGTTGTCACTTTGATGCACTTGTACCACCTGTACCACTTGTACATAGTCATTTGTCTCCAGTGTACCTTGATATAGGCAATCTTCCGAGCTCGACGTTTCTATTCAAATATCGCTTGTGGCATCAGATATGAAAGTGTACGAGCTAATACCCTTTTCATGATTGTACTCACGGGCACAGGACCTTCCTAAACTATTTGCGAGACTGCGTACAAAGTTCCGACAATGTACCACGTTATTAAAAGTGGACCAGAATCATAGAAGTGCAGCGCCTCCGCACTTCATACGCTTGGCGGATGACGCCGGATATTAGTTTTCCGATTGAAGATCGATGGCTCGCTCACACACGTACTTTTAAGCGCTTCCTTTAGAGAGGCGTTAGGTGTGCTGTTAAGAGTTGTTGTATGCCAAAAAAAATCAACAAAAATAGTTTAGTCAAGCAAGTTAACGTTTGGGACACGGTGTAGGCTTTTCAAGTGAGAAGAAAATTCTGTCACTAGTGTTCTCGACTGTCATATTCATGAAAAATGAATATTGTTGTCAATATTCAGGTTCGATTGGCAGTAATTATAATCGACTAGATGATCAAGCAAATCTATTAGAAGCACGATCGAGCAGGACGCAACCAATAAACACCCATCAATTCCGATTATATTTACGCTTTGGGTGCAGAAGATATGTTCGAATTGCATCGTATCGTATGCATGCTGCAGGCGTATGCTTACAAGGCGCATGTGTCCTCCAGAGTGCTTTTTCACATACTAATACCGATAAAGTACCGCTCTGAATCAGTGTCGCAAACACGAACCCTTTGGAAATTTGTTCGATCATTTCGGTACCCACTACAACATTGATATCGAAATTTATCGACTCTGTAGATAGAATTTTTTTAGTAAACAACATGCGATGCACAATAATGGTAACAGAGAGGATATACCTTCCAATGCGGTCTTGAAAGCACAGCAAATAGCGACTTGCGATCGATATAAGCGGAAATATAATGTTTTTTTGTGTACTACTTGAATCAATTTTACGCATATTTGTGACATCTTAAGAAGGTGCACCGTAAAGTGATACGAAGCAAGGGCGAAAGTTACATGGATGGGTCACATAACACAAATTATTTGGGCCCGTTGACAAATGCTGCTAGAACAGTCCTGGAACTCTCAATAGTTGCATTGTGTTGAATGCCAGCGTCAGTATGTATCAGTACAGAAGGTGCCCATCTTGTACTATTGATCTCAGTGAACACATCACGATGATGCACAATTTTTCTGAGCACATACATCCGTACGTTCCTAGATACTGACATGATTCTCAATCTCCAACCAGAAATTTGTGGATTAGATTGACATTATTACTAATAAATGTATGCTGATTTGTACTTCAATTTCAATCTGTTATGTATATTATTTATTGCTTTACATATCTCAAGTGCGCTGGCTGACATCTAATTGTGGAGATGCTCCATCGGGTCCAACACTAGCCCATGGGCCGAAATTGCACAGACAGGTGTCGGCGTCATCTTCTGGGTATTGGTATAAGGGGAGTCCTCCGATGGTTACCACACCATCGCTGTCAACCTGTACACACCCATCATCACGGAGTGGGCTGTCTTCGGGAACAGTGTCATCAAATGTTGGCTTGCAATCCGGTGTGGCTATGATATATGGCCAATCGTCTCCGGTGAACTTGTGCTGGCCATCGTACTTCTCGTCGGCACATTCTGCTTCAGTGCCTTCGCATTCCAGCTCATCTGCTAGTGCATTCTGGTCTATAAAAGTATACGCACTTGGCTGAAGGACTAGCACTGCCTCCATCCGTTTCCTCCTCCATCGCCCCGGTAATATTTAAAGCCGCCGAATCTGGGTCATTTCTGGGCTCACTGCCGCCATAGCTGATGCTATCGTCGATTGAAATAACCATCGAACTACAATCCTCACGACGGACGACACCGGCATGAACCATCGAGGAACCGCACATTAAAAGTGCCGCTGAGATTTTACTGTATGAAAACATAGTAACTGTTTATAGTTATGAAGACTCTTTCAGTCAATTATTTGAAATGCTTTAGTATGAGTTAACGTAATGCCGAGTGTATTACTTTTATAGCGTCGCACAAGACTACTTAGCTACTGTGGATGCTCTACTAGAGAGTTTATTCGATGAATACTGTAATAAAAATCTCAAACAATCACAAAAGAATGCCAAATGTGAAATTCAGATTCCGTATTTAAAATAGCCCAATAAACACAGCGGAAATCGTTGTATGATAATAACGCACCAGGAAGTTGAGACCCGTCTCTTGAGTCTTGGACGAAAGTGGTCTGATCAACTGTCCGTCTGTCCCTCCCTCCGTCTCTCTACTAGTATCTACAATAGCATAGTAACAAATAGATAGCCACCCTACTTGAATTTGATTTCTTAAATTAGATACTCTGTGGTTAGTTTTGAAAGCCATTGAGATATACTATAGGCCATAGCGTCACCATCGAGCCTTTCGCGATGGTCACATTGCTTGGTACCAGTAGAGTGTTTGTTCTAGACCTCTAATAGCCAATTTTAAAGACCAATACTAAAGACAGACTTATACAGTCCCTTCCATGACGGATTTCTCCTAAGATCCAGATCGTTATCGAGCCCTGCTAAGATGGAGACCGGCGTGAAAAAAATCATCAAATTGAAAGTATAACATATACGTCAAAATTAGAGAAATGAATTCTATAAAAAAATGTTATACTAGTATTCCAACCCAATTGGGAGAGTACCAAGACTACATAGATCTCCTTCATAACAGCTTATAGACACGAGTAGCCACATTATACAGTCCCTTCCATGACGGATTTCTCCTAAGATCCAGATCGTTATCGAGCCCTGCTAAGATGGAGACCGGCGTGAAAAAAATCATCGTATTGAAAGTATATCATATACGTCAAAATTAGAGAAATGAATTCTACAAAAAAATGTCATACTAGTATTCCAACCCAATTGGGAGAGTACCAAGACTACATAGATCTCCTTCATAACAGCTTATAGACACGAGTGCCACATTGGGGCCAATAAAGTGATCATCCTTGCGTGATCTCATTTGTTCATAGATAAAGATTGACAAATTCACAAGCAATCCATCCAAATTATGCGATATCTATACTAAACCCTTTCAAAACCGGAAATTTTGTCATTGCGACAAGCAATAATTGTACGCAGCAGTCTCACCCACACGCTCATTTTCTTTCCTGAGGCATGAGATGCATCGGAAGTCATGTAGGTTGGGGTTGGCCTGTGCCACTATAAATTAAATAAAGTATTTTGGTCGATTATACTTTAGTAATTCACATATTTTGAATAATAAGATCATCCTTCGATACTTTACAGCAACTACTTTGCAAAGTCTTGATGTGTGGATCACCAATGAAGGAAACCCAACCGGCCTATTCCAAGCATCACTGATAACTTTTTAATCAACCTAATCATTCTCATATTCGTGTTTCGGTGTCCAATTGGCTATCGACTTAATATTCGTAGAACCCTTGCTTTGTCTTGACTCCATGGTGGCCGTCCTCTACCAGCTTAGTCAGTAATGGCGACGGATTGAATAGAGGATCCTCCGGGTACTTTGCGTGCCAACCGTCCATGATAAACTTGATAGTATCTAGACCAACATAGTCCGCCAACTGGAAAGGTCCCATGGGGTGGCCCGCTCCCAACTTCATACCAGCATCAATGTCCTGCTTAGTGGCTTCTCCACGTTCGAGCAATCTGATGGCCTCCATCAGGTACGGCACAAGCAAGCGGTTCACGATGAAACCGGGAGTATCAGTGCACTGCACACATCTCTTGTTCAGGGACTCTCCGAATTGCATCATGGTAGTGTTGGTTTCCTCACTAGTCTTGTCGGTCTTGATGACTTCAACCAGTTTCATAACACTCACGGGGTTGAAGAAATGAAGTCCGCAGAATCGATCCTGTCTCTCGGTGACGGTCGCCATGTCTCCAATGGCCAGCGACGATGTGTTCGATGCGAAGATAGTTGATTTTTTGGCGGCCTTGTCCAAATCAGCCCAAAGTTTGCGCTTGACATCGAGATTCTGTATCGGATAGTACAATATGAAAAGACCATAAAGGACGTTAATGGGTGAAATGAGATGACAAACTACAGCTTCACCTGTAAATTCCACAAGAATTCCTGCAGTCCATTCGGAATAAAACATAATGTTTTTCACTAGATTAGCTTCACATCTTACATGCCCGATACATACAAGCCAGCTTTTTGGCGAAGGCAACAATATTGTTACCACCATCGATTAACACTTATGCGATAGGTTTCAGTACATTTGAGTAGCCCAACCGAGGAAAATTACAACTATATACATAACGAACTATGGTAGGTCCCATTCGTACATACAGTACAATGTACTGTATAGGACACACAGATGGTTAGCTAACGAGGAAAGCAATAGTTATTCAGCTAGAGATGTGGCATTGTCTCGTGTAGTGGTTTGCCCGAGATTCTGCACAAAGCCTGGGAAATGTTTAACCCACTCTTGAAAATCTGGTAGGATGATTTCTAGCATGACTACGGCATGTTTGTCTGATCTAAGTAACTATGTTGAAGCACATTGGGAGATGAATATATTCCAAGGCATAAGGGTAAGATTCATCTAGCTTGCGACGGGTTCAATATGAGGGTGAGATTTTCTCCTCACAATGCCAGAATAAAGTTCCATAAACGATCTTATATTTAACGGAGCTACCACTAAAAGCGTAACAATCTCTCTATATTAGCATTTGGCAATTTAAAAGAGGCGGCATGCCGGTATCCACTAATTTTCGCCGAACAACTCACTTTTCGGTGTATTCATCTATCACCCTAAGAAAAATAAGGAACAAATACACCACTCAGCAATATAGTTGAAAGTATCACTTACCTCTACAATGGCTTCAATGACAATGTCTGCGTCGGCGACAGCCTCGGGAGCGCTAGTGCTAACGGAGATTCGGCTCATAATGTCTTTTACGAAACTCTCCTGTTAGCGCAAACAGAGAAGAAAGTATGAGCCCCATTAGTTCGATATTTTGCCTTGGTGGCACGCAAGTCAGATTCATTCTCCTATTATTGAAACGTACACCAGTCGCTAAGATCTTCTATATAAAATTCCATAGAATACTTCTGCATTAGTTCATATTCTGATTACTTCTCTATATATTGTATTCTGTGATTTTAGCATAGGAAACAATATAAATATTAAACCAGTATAGTCTAGATGTACAGATGCCATTCCTGATTGGCACCAGTTTTCCACCAACATAAAGTGCACTCCCTCAACCTTAAATAAAATGTAAATCAAAATGAATATCGAAGCCAACTATATATAAAGTTCAACGTGTAGTGAACAAACTTAGCCATGCCATATGAACAATCAGTTACCTATTTATGGTTGTATGAAGTTTGAAGAAATACTCGTTTGCAAATGGGAATTTGTATTAGATTGACATACCGCTTCGGTACCTGACTTCTTCTTGGCCACACGGGTAAGAGACTTTTCAATAGCCTTAAGGTTGTTGGCTAGGATGTCCTGGCTCATATCAACCAGTGTCACGTCGTACCCAGATTGTGCTGCGGCTTGGCCGATACCTCCACCCATTTGTCCACTGCATGGTAGGACGTTTCAACAACGTATGAAAATCTCGATTGCACAACATGTTACCGACACAAAGCTGGTTCGTCCAACATATGAGGTTACAAGTCTATCTAAGCCTCTGAAGATTCGATCAAAATTGGTTCTGGAAGTTGAACTCGAGTGCAGGACTTTTATGTATCTAATCCTGAGCCAAAATCCATTGAGTGTCTCTGCTCCAAGCGCCAACTAGAGGTACACACTAGAACAAGAGGGTAAAATAGTGGCGTCACTACCTTTCTCGTGGTACAGCAAGATTATTAATCACATCGTTGCATAACTGGCTATCGATCATAAGTTAATTGTGGCTATTTCAACGACAGGTGACTTTTCGATCGGTAAATACGGATCGCCGCAGCCGTCAAATTTAGAAAAAGCAAATTAAACACAGATCCTAATTCCGATTCAAAACCCAGAAATGCCGCGCTGACAAGGCTATTGCGCCTACACACATTCGACAAGACTAATGACCCTCTGGCCCGTACACCTAAGGTGCATGCAGATCTTTCTTAGCCAAGAACCAGAATCGTGACACGAGAGGAGTCTAGCATCTGAAGTAAAGCACTTGTGAGCAAACGAACATGCATTTGATGAAATCGGAGCACCTTAAATGCTAACGATACAAACGAAAGTGAACATTATAATATGCACATACCTTCCGATCACGACAACACGGCTGACGTTGGGCGCCATAGAATATGATCGAGCCATCGTGGCTGCCCTGAGAGCATTACTGCTGCGGAGGGTTGAACGTAAGGCTGTGAACATGGTGAATGATAGTATGATATTACTTACGAGCTAAGTTACGTACTGGCAGCAAATACAGTGCGCAGACGTCTCTAATAGATACCGAGTATCACCCTGTCACAGAATAAAATCTGTCATGTGATTTTTTCTTTGGTCGCGGTGGCGAGTGCGACTGCTGGTTTCGAATCGACAATCTCCGCGACTCCGCCTAACGTTTGAATCGACAATCTCCGCGACTCCGCCTAACGTTTCGTCATGTCAAAACACCGTCAACAGTAGAGTGTCAAATTGCAAAGTGTCAAAAGTGGAAAAATAAAAATGTCCGCTGGAGTTGTTTGATATTCATTTCGGAAGGCTGTTTTTATTTAGTTATTTATATTTTTGGGTTGTTTTTATTTATATGCTTTTAGGATTTGGGACCCTCTGCTGGGTTTTATTCCTTCGAGGCCGTTATGTATAATCAATAATGCCAAATTGCCAATGCCTCCCTGAAATTAAATACATAGAACATCAAGGCACGAGCGTCGAGCGGTATTCAGTACTATCCACTCCGCATAATGAGATGGTTTCGACACTGTCATCGCATCAGTTGTCCACCGTTGCAGTAGATGAAAGCAAAATCGTATTTGTATCGTGTAGGTAGTTTGATAGTCTGACTATTTGTTTGCGAACGCAACTAAAACAGACACTCTGAAAGGTGCATCTATGGACGCCCTGCATTTGTTTGACAATCACATAAGATATGATGATTAAGATCGAGATATTTGACATACATAAACTCTTAAACAAGCTATAGGTCATGAAAGTATATCGTCACACTTTCGCATAGTAGTCCTTTATGAACGGTGAACGGTCACAGCTCGTAAGCAAACTCGCGTGCAATACGACACGTCAAAAATATATAAAATACCTAGTTCTAACGAACCTCCTATATAAACTGGATGTACGGTTCGAATGAATGGGCATATAAACTTCATAATACGTTAAAGAACCACTCGCGTGCAATACGGCACGTCAAAAATATATAAAATACCTAGTTCTAACGAACCTCCTATATATACTGGATGTACGGTTCGAATGAATGGGTATATAAACTTCATAATACGTTAAAGAACCACTCGATATCTGCCACTCCTGGAATACTTCTGCGACCAAGCTGGTTTTGAAATATAAATGCGTTCTCAGTAGTCAGACAAGATAAACAATATATTTCTGATGTTCATGTATTTAACTTCGATAGAAATATCGAGGGTGTTTAATTCTAAGATCCTTTATAGTTTTACAATTGTGCTATGCGTACACCACTAGTAGCTGTCGCTGCATTGTAGCAGTCAGACATAAATAAACAATATGTTTCTGATGACCATGTATTTAAATTTAACTTCAATAGAAATATCGAGGGTGTTAGACTCGATGATCCTTTATAGTTTTACAATTGTGCTATGCGTACACTACTAGTAGCTGTCGCTGCGTCCTTGTGAGCGCTAGAAGCGGTGATTCGCTTAGTTTTATAGTCCGGCATTGAGCGCAGCATGTCTTTCGTGATATCCGGTAGTTGCAGATTCGGCCTCGCAGCGACAAACGCATCCAACGCCTGTTGTAACGACGATGGGAATGGGACAGTTTAATTAGATGATATGAGGTGCAATGAGGTTTATATAGAGGTCAAGATTTAATGCTGAACTGTACTCCGCTCTGCATGGCTGTTCTTTAGTTAATAGCGGGCCCGAGTTAATCTTGCCTGTGGGAAGAGAGTTATTCAGCCATCTTGGACTCTAAAAGAACTGTGTCGAACTTATAATCTACCATTGATTTAAATTGAGACCTAAGGGGTAGCAATTTCTTTACACCTGACTCATGCTTCTAGAAAGAATATGTCATCAAGCTCACAGAGTATGTTTGATACATATTAGAAACTCGACAGATGGGAATATCCTGGCCCTGCCAAGGACAGCGTGAAAGTACCTATACTGTTTATCACGCATAGTAAATTGTACGTGTTGCAAGAGTAAATGAAGCACAACGGGGAAACTCTAAAAGTGCATACATAATCTGGGACAATTGGCAGGTACTGTGTTTCATTTATTTGACATACCGCTTTGGTCTTACACTTCGTAACCTCTTTGAGATCCTTCATCCACATATCCTGAGAAGATTTCCTCTTGCCATATTTAGTACTGAAGTCTGTCTCCATCTTCTCAATTTCTGCCTCGCATTGATCCTGTTTGCCCCAGATACAACATGAATTGATTTACAAATAATCCTTAAGTTAAAAATTGTCATTAAATCGCAAGGATACATGCCACTGGCGCTATGACAACTTCACCAACATGCAGTTCCATAGTAAAAAAGGATAACATACAGATTTATCCCCCGATGCCTGACACATACATATTGAGCGTGTCCCAAATGCTATTTAAGCTATACAATTAAGATGCCATCAGAATTCTTGAAAGCCTATGTGTAGCCCTCTCATTCTACTATGAGTGCAAACGCGATTCAATATCAATGTACCGTGTGCACGAATAACCATTAGTTTATGAGCTGGGCACTGAACAGATAGCGTCACTGCAATATCAAAGCCACACCTCCGCCTCCTCAAGGTATCGGATTTGATTCTTCGTCTCTGGATCAGATGACTTCAGCTTTTTCGTCACCTTAGTTGTGGAATTCCCGTCAGAAATCGAAAAGTGGATAGAAGGATGAGTGTTTGTAGGGTGGATTGACCCCATCGTGTTGCGAGCACTCCGCATGAGCTGATTTATTCGAAATTACTTGATAAAACACTCATATATCAGACTTATCGAACCTGGGATGGTTGTCAGTTGATGCGTCGTGTACTAAAAAATATACTAGTTTCGGCTATACTGGGAATTTACTTCACCGGGTCGCAAACTATGAATTGTTCATAACATGCATTTAAATCCAAACTCACCTTTTTTCCATCGAAGATCTCCGAGAATAGATAATAATTGCGTTTGAACCGCTCGTCGGCAATCCCACTAATCGGCACGACATCCTCTAGGTCAACCTGTGGCACAGATAAGGCGCATCAAGGACGGAGTAAATTAGAATTGCGCTGGGTATTCATTCTGACATACCAACCCATTTTGGACCAAGCAGTACTACTCGAATTTCTTGTTACGATTAGAGCTGAGTACGCGCTACTGTCGGCAGCGTCAACGGCCTGTACTTAAAAAAACAACATACACAACAGACGCCTACAAGCATGTACAGTGCTGCTCATTCGCACGCACTAAGAGGGAGACTTCCATTGAATATGTACCTATCATTCATCGACATCACTTGTATATGTGTATGTCATAGTTGTATTTTTTTCTGCCTTAAGACCGATATTAGGCCATCCTCAATTAGAAGACCTCAGACTTAAATGGGGCAACATACTCTTTTGAAAATAAGATTGACACTGCTTTATCTGGATGAAGAACGGTCATTATCGAAGAGTACAATCTCAAGCGATACCACAGCTCTACATCCTTTAGCGCGGCGATTCAACCTTCGATGTGAATTGGCCTATTTCTCTCAGCACTACTCAGATACCACACCCACTGAGCATTGCTAATAATATAGACAAAATACATAAAACGTTGGGAAGCTCACCTCCATCGGATACTCAATCGTTGATGCAGTGATTGGGTTGCCAAACTTGGATGGGTACGGTTGTTGTATGCCAGTGTTGTTGCTACCCCTGTTGTATGCCTTGATGGCGTCCTCTTCCGTTTTTTTTTGTGCCTCGGCTGCTATTTCTTCTGCCTTCTCTTTAGCTTCAGCTTTCAAACCTGAAGTTTAGAAACGTTCATGAGCAAAACAGTATCGAATAGGAAACCCACTAAGATATACCTATACAAGGCACACAGGGGATAGG